ATTTGAATGCGAAAGTTGGACAGATCGACACTAATTATGAGAGAGTTATAGGTAAACATAGAATAAGGACAAAGAATAATAATGGAGAGAGGTTAGTGGAGTGTCTATTGCTCTTTTAAAGATGACCAGGTCAACCACTCGATCAGCTGCGATTTGACATATAGGGAATGATCGAGAGACATACACTTTTGTTTAAGATATGAGAAACAGATTCCAGGATTTACAAGACTTGGCAAATCAAGAGAGAGAGAGGAGTAGATACAGGATGGAAACACATCACCACACTTTACACAGAGAACAGCAAGAAGAAAGTGGACTATTGCATAGGAAAAGCTAGTAATAATAGGATTCAACAAGAAACCGTAGATACCATCGAGGAAAGTAGCGAGGCCAAAAATGACTGTTACAGACCAAGTCAACGAGATTGCAGAAAGGCAAGAAAAAATTTAAAGAAATGAAGTGATTTGCACGTCGAGATTAGTGAGAGGCAATTTAACAACTGGCAGCAGAAGCAGAAGGGGCAGCAGCAAAGTGAGATAGTGCCTGCATCTGGAAAGTTTCAAGGGGAGCACAGTTGTGCCTGCTAAGAACAAGTAAGGAAAACTCCTTACTAATAAGAAAAAGAGGAAAAAAGATGGTCAGAGCATTTCCAGACAGTACTCAATCGAAACTCACCCGAAACACGAAACAGCAGACATTGCAGAGGCCACAGAGGACTCGGATGTAGATACTGATTCATCAAGGAAAGAAGAGATAACGACTTCATCCAAACCATCATATCAAAAACAACAAGTCACCAGGTAATGCCATATCATCTCGCAACAATTTCAAAGGGAGGAGTGAGTATCCCCTGCCAAATCCAGGGAACCCATTTCGTATAGCACTGCGTGTTCTAGAATAAAAATCAAAAAGGTTTTGAATATTATTTATTCATGTACTGTATTACGTATAATGCTTGAATCTGACTATTCAAGAAACGCTTAAAGACAATACAAAGAACATTACATTATAAAATATAAAACACTATGTAGTAAGAGTCAAATGGTCCTGGCATTAAATAATATCATAAAATTCTCCTGATACAACACAAGTAGAAACGATGTAACATTTTACATTTGTTAAAAACTGTATTATCATTTGCATGTTTGTGAAGTCTGTTCTTACATTATAAAGAAAAGAAAATATTTTTAAGAAAGAGAGAATCATATCTTTAGATCTTGACTATTTTGTCTGCCATCGTGTATTTTGATTTAAATGTTAACAAAATTTACATTTTCCAAAATTCAACTTGTTATACAATAAACATCACTCGTAAACCTCAATTCTAAGTATAAGTTGGGGTTAGTAAAATTGAGTTAAGAAACGTCGTTAGAATAAGTCGGAGTGCTCAGTATACAAAACAATTTAAGTGCTTGTGATTAATATTAACACTTGATACGTACTACTTGAACCACCCGAAATTGCCTATTTACTTTCTCTATCTTCATTTCTGTAAACATTTCGTTTCCACAAATGGGATTTCAAGAAGTTTAGAATTCTTGAAGAACTCGAAAAACTCAGAAAAATAAAAAGACCTTGTAATGATGTCAGAAAGGTAACGACGAATGAAAAAACAGAAATCTGTAAAAGACTATCCAGCACTTGAAGTATCCATACTGTTCCAGTCAGACTGAATAGTTTGATTGAAATAAGGAGCTCAGATTTGTTCTCTTTTGTTTTCCTGATGTTTTGAGCGAAACTGATATTAAGAAGAGTAAAAATGAACAAGACAGTATTTACAATACAAGTTACACACAAAGGAACAATAAAAGTGACGATGTTTTGAATGAGGTTTTCAACGAAGCACAAGTATTTACCATATCCAATATTTCCTTCTAGAGCAAACGTAGTAATTATATTAGTAGCAATAACGAAAAGGGGCGTAAAGTAACAAAATAAAACGTAAGAAGTAAAAGTAGCTCTGATATTTTGGCCACGAATTTGTGAATCCCGTCTGTACCTAGAAAAGGTTCTGTACATATGAAGAGAACAGATGAAAAGACAACAACATAGGGTAAGCCAGAAATAGTGTAAAATTACACCTATTATCTGGCAATACAATGTGGACCTTCGTATAACATTGGCTACCGTATAAGTTATTTGCATACAGAAAAGAGAAAACGTTGTGTTCATAACATTCAAACCAGGAAGTGTGCGTAATTCGGGAACTAACATGTAAAGCACAAATAAGATTAACAAAGATACGATACTTATCATGTTTAAAACAGTTGTTAAGGTCTCCAGTATGACAACATAAAAGTAATCAACAACTTCCGTGTGACTAGATTTGACGCAAACACGATATTCGTTGTCAAAATCTAACACAAAATCGCCAATATTAAAGGTTTCATGCGTCTTTTTCACAATGATTTGACCATTGTAGTCAACTTTAACTTTGCTTTTGCTAATGGTTCTCTGACGACAAAAAAGTAAATTACTAACATAAACAAATGTGGATGGATAGGAAGAATCTAGATATTTGTGTATGCCAGCCACAAAATATGTCTGTATATCGGGTAGTATATTTTCTTGTGCTCTCAGAGCGTTGTTAATATTAGAAAATTTTAAACCTTTTAAATCGATAGAAATATATTCATCTCCTTGAGCTGTAAATTTTGCGGACAATTTGGCGGGTAAATTCAGAAGCTCCCTTTCAGCCTTGTCCCTGTCAAACTGTTTGGTATAAGACAAATCTAGAAACAAATTCCCTTGGAACGTAAAATGAAAGTATCCCTGTCTAAATGTTTTAAATAGAGGAGATATCGGTAAAAAGATAAACTCACTCAAATAAATGTCAGTGGCAATGGAAAAATTTTTGTAAAAATAATTTCCTAAAGAATTGCCAACTGAATTCATAACCTTTACTGTATCGTTACTTGTCGAAGTGACTTTCAGTTGACATAAAATAAATAATACATAATTGATTCCTTTTGGATGGTGTATGATTGGTATACACTTTTCTCCTATCAAAATCTTTCCAGGATAGCAGAAGTTGTCCATTGCCTGTAATAAAATAACCATTTTAAATCAATAACTCAAAATCAATACAAGTGTACTTAGCAATATATCAAATTAAGCATTCTGTTTCTATGAAGTTTTCCAGCGATTCTCTGTAAATAATAAGTATTCAACCAAAGATGCTACAATGCATATTTTGTAAGATTTGTTTCAATGATGAGCCAGTCCCTTATATCAAGGTTAGAAAATTAACTGGCTAAAATATGTATCTTTGTGAAGGCTACATGTGTGCCAGGTTATTGAATTCAGACAAAAACTGCAGGAAGAGTAGCATTTTGAAAACAATTCACAGAAATTTCTATTTTTAGTAATCATGGCAATACCGTTCATCAAAAACCGATGCAAAAAATTATGTATTTTAGTGTAGTCTACTTCTCATGCGCCAATTTACATGTTGTATGTTGAAATTAGACTAAAAACTGTAGAAAATAAGGATTTAAAATTTGTTCACAGCAATTTTAGTAACTAAGTTACACTGTTCTGATATACAGAATTATTTATATTGTGCAGTTTGCTTGTGTACCAAGTATATTGAATCTGTTGGAGGAGTAGCAAGGAGTAAACATCCCCTGTTGACCGTGGACACACGCCGTGAGCCCTTTATATTGATCAGACAAAAGGAAAAATATGGAGGAAAACGAACAGTATTCAATCTCAAACGTCCAAAAAACAATACAAAATAGGAGCAGAGCAAACACGGACCTCGAAAACATCAGATGTGGATCAGGTGCCATGGAGGAGTGAGCATCCTCTGCCGACCGGTCACACCTACCGTTTGTTCCTTGTCATGATCGGGAAATTACAGGGAAAAAAACGTCGTCAAGTTGGTGTGAAATATGCACTAGCAATTTGTATGAAAAACTTCAGTCAGCATTTGACTCAATGATAAAAAAATGTCTATATATTTGGCACGAAATATGTCAAACAAAATAAGATCCAATGATTGCATTTGAAAATTGGACCATTTTAACTTTCATTAGATTCTGCGAAATGCTGACTTTAAACAAGATTGTGTCATGTTTTTGAAATGACACGCTGTGTGCAAGATGTTTACATGTGCTAAAAGAACCAAATTGCTTGGGTCTTTCAAGATCAATATATCGAGCTAATATGACAAAGGTTTTATTGTGAATGTCATTCAGATAATGTAATTACTATATACTTTTTTGTAATAAACTGCATGTACCTGCAAATCTGTGAGTATAACTAATAAAAAAACAACAACAAACAATACCTAAAGTAACAGTGATTCATAAAGGCTATATAGAATTGAGACATATATATTGTAGTAAATAGAAAAACAAGAGGCACATGGGCCTTATAGGTCACCTGAATATCATGTAACAACTTTCCAACAATTGAATTTGGTTCTGTTTTAAACCAGAGGCCATGAAATTCACAATTTTGAAAGAGGCACCATTGCTAACATAATTATAAACGTAGCATGCTTACTCTATTTACTTAATACCCAGAGTTAGATCAGAGTAAAAAAGAGAAAATGCACTTCCACTATATAACCATTTGTGCACCCCACCCCAAAGGAACCACTGACCCTGGAGCCACATATTTCAAAATTTTGGAAATTTTTATCATAAATTTTATTTCATCATAAATGGTTGATTAATAGCAAAGAGCAGATTTCAAAGCATTAATTTATTTTCAGACTATGTAACTCTCCCCCCTCCGATACCCCTGACCCAGAGGGCATGAAATTAACCATTTTGCTAGATGCACCTTTCTTCATCATAAATACATGTATTATATACACTTGGATCATTAGCATAACATCAAGGAGCAAAAGAAAAGATTTTCAAAGAATAAATGTATTTTCTATTACTATATAATCAAAGGAGCAACCCTTACACCAAATGGCAAAACCCCTGACACAGGGGCCATGAAATTCACAAATTTAGTTGAGGCATTATAACTTTACACTTAGTTAGTTTATTTAATACCCAGGAGCAGAGAAGAAGATTTTGAAAGAATTAATCATTTTCATTATATAATCAATAGAGCCCTTTCCTAACACCAGAACCCCTGACCATGGGGCCATAAAATTCACAATTTTGGAAGAGGCACTCTTGCTCATCATAACCATGTACTTAGTTAGTTTATTTAATACCAAGGAGCAGAGAAGAAGATTTTCAAAGATTTATTGCATTTTCACTATATAATCAATAGAGCCCCGCCCCTACACCAGAACCCCTGACCCTGGGGCCATAAAATTCATAATTTTGGAAGAGGCACTCTTGCTCATCATAACTATGTACTTAGTTAGTTTATCTAATACACAGGAGCAGAGAAGAAGATTTTCAAAGAATTAATGCATTGTCACTATATAATCAATAGAGCCCCACCTTAACACCAGAACCCCTGACCCTGGGGCCATAAAATTCACAATTTTGGAAGAGAACTCAATGCTCATTACATTCATGCTAACAGTTTGCCTGCTTGATGTCCATGCAGGAGTAAAGAAGAAGATTTTTAAAGATTTCATTAATTTTAGTGGTTTTGGCCCTATCCCTCAGACCCCAGATTGGCAGGGACCATGAAATTCACAATTGTTGTTCCCCTTCAGCCATAAATGCTGTATACCAAATTTGGTTGAAATTGGTTCAGTGGTTTCAGAGAAGAAGCTGAAAATGTTCAAATGTTAACACACGACACACAACGCCGGACGAAAACGGATAGCAATAGGTCACCTGAGTGACTCAGGTGACCTAAAAATGTGAACACATGAATCTAGCTAGAATGCAATTTTGATTAATTTTTGAATTTTCACCCTACCCGTTTACAGTCACTAAGTTTCGTATACTGGTATTGTTACTGCATGTACTTAAATATTTCATCCCATATTCACCTCCCTATCCCGTGGATATCACTCATTCGATTTTGTTATATCCCACTGCTGTGACGTCAGAATGTGTCTTGCGTGAAAGTGATTCTCAAAGTAAATTGAAGTGGATTCCTCTAATTGTGTAAAATAATGATTGTGATGTATAAAACATGAAATAAATAGAATCTACCATGACTGAATATGATTTTTAATTTAATTTAACATTAGATTTTACCTCAACTTTCCTTTTCAAGAGTTTCTCATTCATGGCTATCTTTGGGATGAATAATTCTCTCATTAAGGGCTTTACAAATTTTTTATTTGCTCCGTATATCGGTAGACATTGGGTCCTGGCAAGGGTTGATTTGGTCCTCAGTACTTCATTTCCCTCACAATGAGAACAAAACTGATTCCTGAACGGATGAACAGATGGATGACTGCTTACGTCTGGTAAAGTCAAGCAAGCGTTTTTGAAGATATTTGACTGATTGCATGCTATGATATCATCATTTTCATTTGAATTGCACATTTGACAAAATTCATTTTTAAATCTCCCAATGGGCATAAATGCATGGGGACTGGAATATTCGCACATCCACTTCACAACTTGATTCTTTTCACTTTGAGGACAATTCCACTTTGATATTGAAGTTTCTAGATTACAAGCGACCGTTTGGGATGCGTCGTATAATATTTGACACTTTTGATTCTGAGCTTGTTGAATTAGTTGATCAAAATTTTTTAAAAATAAAAAATCAAATTGCGATTTGCAAATGATGTCGAAATCGACAATCTTATAAGTGTCGTGAAAAAGACTGTTATCTTCAATGGAATAGTTCGTATTACAAAGAAAACAAAATATGTTTCTGAAAGTTATATTATTTGAAAAGATTGGTATGTCGTAATTGTCAAAATACTCTTCACACAGTTCTTTGATTTTTTTATATTCAGTGGTAGAACTTTGTGTCATGTTATTTTCGTAGCACCTTGAGACAACAAGAATACCTCCGGGTTTTCGAATTTTAGAGAAGGGGAATACTCGGTCGATGCAATCCAATGGATGCAACAATGCCGTGTCAATGCAACAGGTGCACTTTCCCAGGAATAGACAAGAATATGAGCAATCACACTCTCTCTTTGTGGTGAGGTTTCGAACACTCTCCGATAACATATCCTGCCTACAGAGACGTTGTGGGTTAATTGCTGCAATTGTGTTCAAAAGCTGACCAAAGCTTACACTGTTTTCTTCTTCCATGGTTTCAAATGGAAAAAGAATGCCACTCCCGTTGAAATCTCTTATCATTCTAAGAAGGATATTACTTCTAAAGGATGCATCAAAAAAATTTAAGTAGAATGTTTCTCTTGTACCAAAAGTATAATGTTCACGTACACTTGTTGAAAAGTCAAAAAAGTGATAATGTAAGAACTCTTTGCATTCACTACCTTTGCATCGTGGAGAGTCAAAAGCATCTATATTCGTTATAGGAGTATTACACTGAAAACAATAGAAATTTTTATACGGATACGTCATGGCTGAAGTAGAGGCCTGTTGACATTTTTGGACTGTTTCATTGTTGTGTAAAGAACAGGAATCTACTGCTGGTCCAGGTCTTTTGAATTTTGCCAATTTGCACAGGTAGCAGAATACATTCCTTTGAAGTCTAAACTGATTAACATATGAAGATGAACAAGCAGTATCTAAATCTTTATCATTCAGACAAGATTGAATATGATATCTATCTGGATTTAAAAACATTGGACGGATTATTCCCTTCATACTAGGTGGTGGAGAATATACAACAGTTGTTTTGTGAGCCTTTGACAAGAATTGTAGTTGTTGGTAAGATTCAATGAAGTTGATGAAATCCAATTGAATTGTATTTTGATCAAATGAAATGTTCCATGTTAACAAATTGAATTCGTATTCCCCGTGACAATATGCGCAGAAAACATTGCGATAAGAATAATTACTAACAATAGAGCTAACTGGATTATAATATTCAAACTCGCCAGAAGCATTTTTACATTTTGTTCTCTCATCCTCTGTGGAAAATTCAGGACAAGTCGTGATGATCTCGTACTGTGGCATGAGTTTTAATGTTGAAATCTGTTCCATATGAATATAAGGGGTATCCAGCCTTGCTAATGGTCTTTGAAAAAACTTATCAGGACAACAGTTAAAGTTATGAAAGCAAGATTCTTCACAGGAACAAGGCTGACAACGAGATAATATCGGGTGAGATTCATAATTTGTTATACCTGGCCAATCAAAACACATGTTCTTCTCTCCACATGCTTCTATATAAATGATCATCAATCGGGAAATATTGAAACCAGAGGTTTGACAAATGAAAAACATCAGACAGAAAACAGCTAATTGGAACATTTTCCTTCTGTTGTATTTCATGTTGAAATCTGTAATAAAAAATAGCATGTTTTATCACTTCATAAAACATTCAATTAATTTGATTGACTGTTATCATAGAATAAGATTCAGATTTAATACACATAGAAACGATGATAATCACTATAAAATATATATTTTTTAAAGACTGAATATAAAAACCTAAAATTTGCACTTTCTTTGTGTTGAAGTGGGTCATATTATACTTTGGAGCTCGAGGGGAATCAGTTTAACAGAGAGACGTAACGAATGTAACATTTCGGGCCATGATTGAGTGATTTTCATCCCCTTACTAATGAAAAGCAGCCCCATCTTCCAATTAGCTGCTATATTGTCTAGTATTTACGCAGCAATAATTAATACTTCCCGAAGGTCCAAAATGCGTTTAAAACATGAGATACATTGCAAAGTTTTTTTCATATTAATTTGTAGGATGTATTCACTCAATCGCAACATCTCGGGTCTTTCCGTCAGAGGTCGGAAAAATAACCTCGAATGTATTAACATCACCGGATGTTAAAAATTTATACATTTCCTGTTTATTCAAATATACGATACACGGAGTTAGAAATCCCTTGTATATTATATTCTAGGTAATATCATTACATTGAATAAAGTTAAACTCCATATTCCACAGATAAAAGGTCCCCATGCATTTATTTCAAAGATCGTGAAAAGGGGGAGTTGTCATGGCGGCTTCCATATACATTCGAGGTCGTTTTTCCGCTAGTCGGAAAGGCCCGAGAAGTTGCGATTGGTATTCACTATGACAAAAGAATTGACCTATAGGAGAAAACAATTTCCCGGAAAAAGTGACATTTAAAAATTAATCTTTATTTGTTGTTTTCTACCGTATATATGTCTAAATTTTTCAAATTTGTATTTTATACCTAATATTTATTATTTACAACTTTACAATAAACCTCCAAAGTTGGCCAAAACACCATTTTGTCCGTTAAAGCGTTGATTTTTGCATGTATTTTGGCCTAGAAGTCCTTCAGGGCAGGCCTGCCCCTAAACAAAACTGTGATATTTTGATAGGTTGGGATGTAAAGAATAATTTAAGATAGGATTTTTTTTAGGGACACCCTTGCCCTAGGGTCGAAATTCACAAAAAACCTACAAAAAATAAGGAAACCTGATTTTGACAATCTGCTTAAAATTTATGACACATATTTTTATGGTCTGACTAGCTCAATTGATGTATGTGGTGACTTTTATACTATCGATACTTACTTTTTAAAGTCGGGGGTTCGAATCCACCTGGTACCACACTTTTAAAGTTTTAATTTTTCGCCTTTTCAAAGACTATTTTAATTTTTTTTTATAGACTTGTGCATTTTCTCTCAATTATCTATCCTTTATGCATGCTAATTCTTGATATAAGAAACACTAACGTTCCATTCGAACGGAAAATTTTACCACTTCAATGCGCTTCATTGTATATCAGTAACTGTTTTTCTTGGATTTCATTTACGCCTTTATAATTTGCACATATTAACTGCATGTTTTATTATATCCTCAGATAAATAGCCTAGACATAAAGAATAGAATTTCAGAGACAGTAGACAATACCATTACATGTATGCACAATGAGAAGTAAAGAAAAATATCAATTATTACATTTGGAGATAACAAATCAGAAAATCAATGAAAGGGTTTAAAAAATCTACTCACTGAAATAAAGATTTAGGAAAAACAAATTATTATATGTATTCAGCCTAAGGTCGTTAATCAGAACGGAAATCGACAAGGTTTTTGTAGAGAGAAAAACCAAGCCCGGTCCTATAGGTCAAATCCCTATTTAGAACGAAGTGATCCTTTACATAGTTCTCTCGACTATATATCTACATATTTTGCTATGTTATCACATGTCCCCACAGATCATGTGACATTCATTTAGAATATTTTGAAGTGTTGCCTATAAATTGCTTATAGGTGTAGCCTTTGTACACAATAACATTAAATATTCTGTCATATGAATCTTTTCATCGTGTTCTTCGTATTCTTATATACCTGAAAAGTCATTGTTTTACTTAGGTACAAAATATTCTCATGAGAGGTTTAACTTTTCTATACATCGGTTGACGAATGCAACTTCATATCGTTATCTGTATCAAACAAAGTCATCGCACATTTTTTTAAGTTAGGGAGCTAAGTCATCTTACAGATTTGCACAAAAATATTATTAATCTTAATTAATCGTCTGTGCCAGACTGTTTTACACCCTAATGTTTTACACACATGAAATACCTCAAATCAAGGGTATAAAGCAGTGTACATTTCAAAAAACATTTTCGTAGGCATTTGAGCACGCAAAATTTCGTTTTTGAGTTATTATTTCAAATAAGTATTTAAAAATCATCAGACATAAAGATCTGAAAATACAATTAAGAGATGTGAACTTTGCATTAGCTTCAGATATTTTGAATGCAATTTGTAAAATAAGGTGTAATGGTTATGGCACTCTCAGCGTCATAACAGCTTCACTTTTCATTTCTATTATTCTTAATGTACACGCCATTTACCGTACTATATTTGGCGGAAATTGAACATGGTGTGTAGATTTGATTTAGCTCTTTTCTTAATGTTCTTTTTAACGAATATATCCGGTATATACAAGACAATTACTTGTGTGTACTTTCTTTCCACTAAAGGCGCTAAAACGAATACACAGGTTTTACGTTTACAGCAATAAAGGAACCCCAAAGAATAATCAAAGTAGTCAGAAGTACAGAGAGCCGGGCTCATTCACAGAGTAAAATGAATTTCTTACATGAATCATACGTTTATATTGTATTAACAGATAAATAACAAGAATATCAGATTAAAAATTCTGATGAAAAAAATTATTTTAAAACTAGCAATATAAGACACTGACAGTGAGTTTTCGATCCAAATACCACGGTCCGATTTTGTCAGAATCAAAATTTATCTGGTACTACGGCTGAATGTAAACAATCAGGCCAGTCTGGTTCCCTCTCCTGTTTTTCCTCGTTAGTGTAGAGAACTACGCTAACACTGATCATAGAAATCCTTACGCTAATAAACTATGTTCTTTGACTTAAGACAGAAGTTTCAAAGTCATTACTACTAATGTTTATTTATTTAGATAAAACTTCGTTTTATTTATGTTGCTTTATTTAGCGTTTGTATTACCTTAGAAGCGGTTGAGAGTAAGAACTATATTTTTACACGAAACTTTAAAATGGCGACTATGGGGTTGACATCCTGTCTTAAACAGGATGACATAAGCCGGTGTAAAGACGAATAATGACCCCCATCGAATAACGACCGGGGGTCATTTTTCAACGACAAAAAATGACCCCCACCCGTAGAAAAAAATCATTTTTTGTAGAGAAAGAGTCCTAGGGGTCATTATTTTATATGTGCTTCCTATAAATAATTGACCCCCATTGAAAAATGACCCCCTTTAAAGTGATACAAAATTTATAATAGGTGAAAGGGAAAATATGCTGTATATTATAATTGTTCTTCCTTCGAGTAATTCATGCATTTGTTCGAATAGATTTGATCTCTGTTCTTCTAAGCACGTAGGGGTAATAAAGTTCCTCATTTCTCTCTGCCGAAATATTGACAATTCAGTTTCAAGCAATTAACAATCAATCAATTAATCTTCATTTCTCTGATAAAGGAGCAAACCTAGAAAATCAAAGATGGTACATGTAAATGGATCAAACGCACGCTGGAGAGAGAGAGAGAGAGAGAGAGAGAGAGAGAGAGAGAGAGAGAGGCATCCCTTTTCCATGATTTTAAATGTATGAATAAACTTTATTAAGAGATAAAGTTTTTAACATTTTTTTCACAATATACACTTTTTGATATCTTTT